AAACTTAAGGAATAAATAAACTCCTAAGACACCTGTTTGGGAGAATATGGTCATTATTGCTGTGTTGGCGGATTCAACCATTCTCCACACGTGACAATAACTGACGTTGTTTTCAGTTAACAATATGAAAAATAGCGTTCTCTACATTCCTCCATTTGCTAAGGACATTCTGTTTTTTGTTATTATTAGTTAATTTCTTTAATTAAATTCATTTCGTTTTTTTGCTTTGAGAAAGTCCACATTGGACGAAACGCGTCAGCAATAACTACAGTTTTCCTATTGTCATTTATATTTATAAATATTGTCTTTTCTACATGTTAACTCTGAGAAATTTTCATATATATATATATATATATACACACACACAGGCGCGCACACACACACACACACACACATACACACACACATATATATATATATATATATATATATATATATATATATATAGGACGAAATATATGAGGTTTCTATCAGTCTCGATGAATTAATTTTAATTATTAAATCCTCCCAATAGTTACTATCTGTGCATATCATCGCTTGAACCGGCTTCTAATGCTCCAGTAGGAGCGGCTTGGTGAGAGTAGTCGTGGCTCCAGGGGGCACAGTCCTATGGTTACAGAGAACGCAGTATGGTTCCACCACGGAATATGTGAGTGAGCGACGCTATATTGAGTCTGATTTGCAATCTCTTTGTCACCGATGCCCATTGGAACAGTTGGTATGATGTTTGCTTGACAACCTAACTGTCAGGGTTTCAATTCTCGGTTGTGGATGCGCACTGCTGATGAGTACCAAATATAGGACGAAACGGACGTCCAGTGCTTTCTACATTCTGTTGAAGTTTCTATCAAACTCGATGAATTATATATATATATATATATATAGGCAACATATCTTCATTTAAGCATCATTCACAATATGGAAAAGTACTCGTTGGCAACACCAGTATACTACACTATGAAAATAATAAACAAAAACTTCAAATTCCTGATGCCCTCTATAATAAAAGCTATCAACCAACACTGAGCAAAAATGATTATGATTGTAGTCGAAATACTTTAAAATGCATTTGACCAACATCATTTAATACATTTTTACCATCCCTTATCTTACACTGGGACGCATGCGCAAAAAAGATTTTAAAAAAAGCGTAACTACAACCGATAAATTTAAAATTTTATCTAATTATTATAACAGACGGCGTTCACGCGTGTCTACATATATCAACATCACAGCAATCAAGGTTACAATAAGTTTGTTTTCGCTGTTCACTCCTTTGAATGATCTCAGACGAGATCGAGAGGACTTGGTTTAACGTAAACTACGGCGCCTTACTTGATGAATTTCAATTTCCATCAAGAAGATAATCAGAGAACTATAAATGATTATTATGAAAATAAATAGACATAATATATCTCTATTATTCAATGAATATACTTGGACATATATGTAACCCTTTATGAAGTCGTCAAAAAAACAAATGTTAGCGAATTATGACAGTTTTGGGGTTTTTTTTATATATATATACACAAAAGTCAAACCCTTTCAGAAAAAAATAAAAAATAAAAAAAATGAATAAATCTCGATAGACACTTAACCAGACTAGACGATGTCATCTTCCGCTTTGAATTTAGACACCCCAACCTTACCCTGACTTGACCTCTTTGAATGTAACTCAGATATTGATACAAATTATTAACCCTTACGCCCCTTTTCTTTAAATAATTTCTCTAGCCGTTACCATAGTAATTTTAATTTTAATAATGAATATGCTTATAAAACGCGTAAATTTCAGGAATTAGTTATTCCAAAAAAAATTCGCTTGAAGATGGAACAGAGCTTGGTACTTTAATTCAATTTAATTCGAATAATTATATTGAAGTTTTCGGCTCTTGTTTTGAAACATGAGAACTCTTATGTAGCGATGGAATTATATTTTTAACTAAATAATTATATATATATATATATATATATATATATATATATATATATATACCCAAGTATAGGATTGGTGTATACGGAATAAATTCCAATAGCCAACAATTACTATTCTTAAAAGAGTACTCAATACCAAGTAGAGCAAATATAGTTATTTAATCAAAAATTATAACATAAATATGTTATAAAATCACTACAAGAATAGCCATTTTGTTTCAACACCTCTAGTGTCTTACCAAGTGATGATGTTGAATTCAACATATTAATGTTATAATTTTCGAATAAATAATATATATATATATATATATGGAAGGCACCGTGGAGTAGTCTATAGCAGCTCGGATTTAAGAGAGTCGAGTTACTTGCTAATACCCTTGGGAAATCCTCTTCTTCTCCCTCCAGCTATGGGTAAATAATGGGTAAACTGGATTCTATAGCCTTGGATAGAAACTGGTCTAGGAGAAGGGCAACTCTGAATTCAAAACCTGTGGGGGCGTTTGGGGACCTTGTGGCACTATTGTCTCGACTATTGATTAGTTGTCCTACGGCCATTGTCTGCGATGTACGTTACTCCATGAAGCGTACGAAAATTGTAGCGCTGCACTTAATACACTGGCAAGCCTTGCCAGTGAGCAAATCAAAATACTAGACTGGCACGAAAACTTTCGTGATTTAAATCCAATCGAGAATCTGTAGTCAATCTGCAAGGAATGATTTCGTGGAATGGACAAATGAAGTACTAACATATGCACTGGGTCATGTTCCATTGGAAAAATACGAAAAAAAGTAAATAATAATGGAATCATTCATTTTGTTTCAATTAATTTGCACAAGGGGTTCATGTGAAAGATTTAACATCAGCAAGATTTTAATTAATCTTTTTTTTTAATCCTTTCGCCCCAAGCGAAGTGACAGTAGGTATCCGTTTATCTAGAGAAAATTCAGTCCTTTTGTAGTGAAAATAGAGTGACCATTCAAGGGCGCACATCTGGGCGATGGTATATTGAGGCTGAGATTACATTGTCCTCTCTCGGCCGTACCGACATGATACAAATGAGGAATATGAAGCATTAGTTGCCAAATTAAATTCGTAAAATTTAGATACCGAAGAGGAAAGCTCTTCAGAAAAATGAAAATATTTATGGAAAAGACAGACACTGGAAGGTTACGTTACGGCGGTGGGAAAGTTACTGAAGCCGAGATGCTGATAACTTTGCTAATTTTTGTTTGTTTTTTGTCAATAATATCTCAATATATAACAGGAGCAATGTGCGTCAGTAATATTCAATGCATGAACGAATAGTAGACTTATAAATATCTAAGATAGAGAAAAATTGTCTATCACGCCACAGTGAACCAACTTTCCTAGCAGCAGATCTAGCAATTGATTCAAGATAATCTTTCCATGACAACAAAAAAGTTAACCTGAGAAGACGCAGTGAGTTACTCTGCTGGGGGTTAGAATCAGCCATGCTGATTAAATGCAAAAAGGGTTCTCTCAGAAGATTAAAAGAGAGCCATTTAGTTTTAAAGGCATTAAAGTTAACAAGCCATTTCTTGCCCCAGCAAACAACAGATTGTAGGTTATTTTTGAGATCAGCTTCCAATTTGACCTTATCATACTGATCAGACTTACCTTTAATGCGAGAGTTTGAGACATCGGCATAGATGCCGACTTGAGAACTGATGACATCAGGAAGGTCACTGATAAAAATTAGGAGCCAGGCAGGCCCAAGAATAGAGTCCTGGGGGACACTAGCATTAATGAAAAATGATCTAGAAGAGTGGCCGTTCAAGACGATATTTATTTCATTGTTTCAAAGAAAACCTTAAATCAGATCAAAACATCGTTCAGAAAGACATTAATCTTTTAACATGAGATCAAGACCAGAATACCAAACCTTTTCAAAGACCTTCGATATATCCAAAGTAATAGCATGAGTTTTCTCCATTCTTATTTAATGATGGAACCCAATCTTCCTATATGTGTTTCTCTATACTGCCCTGGGATCAGCATTGGCCAGCCTTATGGCTGAGAGAGTTACAGTAGGAAAGTCATGATTTCGAGTCGTAGAAATAAATGAAAAAAAAAAACGGTATAACTACAGAGGTACTGGTTATGTTACAGCTGAAAGTAGAATCAGCAAGCAGAGTTCAAAACACGGCCTAATCTGTGCACGTTAGCACAAAAACCATTGGTAAATTCCCCGAGATTGTCTCTTCTCTCCCCAGCTGTGGGTTAAATAGTAGGGTAGATCTCTAACTTTGGGCGGCTACCAGTCTAACAGGGCGAAAACTGCAGAGAAAGCAACCGGAAGCTCCCCAGTATTTCCCTTTAGAATGCATAACAAATCACGGATAAAGAAGAGGAAGCCGAGAAGAGTCGTGAACGCCCGCGTCCTGAAGGGATAGGGCTATCTAAAAAAAAAAATAATATATCTGCTTAGAAAATTGCTATAACCATCTGACCTCGTGTCGTATTAAGTCCCATTCTGCAAATAACAAACAAGCAGATTTTAGCGATTTTTTTTAAATATGAATGAAAGCTTTCCGGGCAAACAGAATCAACACACACAAACACACACGAGCTTTGACGCTTGTCCATGCTCGTTATCTCACCTCCTCTCCCCACCACCACTACCAACCTCTTGAGTGTAATTTAGCAAGGATTCAATCATACACACTAATACATAGCCGTCGGTACGCCAAAGATATTGTTCCTATCTTTCACAACCTTTCTCTTTATATATATATATATATATATATATATATATATATATATATATATATATATATATATATATATATATATATATGTGTGTATCTCACACATATATAGACGTGAGGTATTCACGTTCATATGTACATACACATACAACCCACCTCACATACACACACACACACACACACACACACACACAGTGGCTTGTGTAAACTGGATTAAACGGACGCTGACACGCGCACAGAGGTATGAATTCAGAAATAAACATTTTCAGCACTTAACGCAAGAGCCGATATTTCTGAGAGGCGATAGTCCTGGGGCGAATGGCCGCCGGAATATATCAAACCTGTTTTCTCGAAAAGACAGAAAGAAAGACAGAAAGAAAGAACGTAAGGAAGAGAAAAGTCGGTGAGGAGGAAAGAACGAATAAGAGAGAAAGAAGAAATAAGGGTAATAAAAATGGAGGAAGAGGAACGATTAATAAACAGAAAGAAAAGAAAGAAAGAAAGAAAGAAAAGAAAGAATGAGAATAAGTGAAAGAAAGAAAAATAAAAAAAGGAAGATGAAGAAAAAAGAACATGGATATAAGAAAGAAAGAAAGAAAGAAAGAAAGAAAGAAAGAATCGAGAAAAAGAAAAGCGGTTGAGAGGAAAGAATGAATGGGCGATAAAAAAAACAGATAATAAAAATGGAAGAAGAGGAACGAGCAATAAACAGAAATAAAAATTGAACGAAAGAAAGAATGAAAGGAAGAAAGAACGATAAGAAAGAAAGAAAGAAAGAAAGAAAGAAAGAAAGAAGGGAGAAAGGTTTGTACTGAAGAGATAGAAAGGCAGTCAAAGAAAGAAAGAAAGAAAAGAAAGAAAGAAAGAAAGAAGGAGAAGGTTTGTACTGAAGAGATAGAAAGGCAGTCAAAGAAAGAAAGAAAGAAAGAAAGAAAGAAAGAAAGAAAGAAAGAAAGAAAGAAAGAAAGAAAGAAGGGAGAAGGTTTGTACTGAAGAGATAGAAAGGCAGTCAAAGAAAGAAAGAAAGAAAGAAAGAAAGAAAGAAAGAAAGAAGGGAGAAGGTTTGTACTGAAGAGATAGAAAAGGCAGTCAAAGAAAGAAAAAAAAAGAAAAGAAAGAAAAAAAAGAAAGAAAGAAGGGAGAAGGTTTGTACTGAAGAGATGAAAGGCAGTCAAAAGAAAGATAGAAAGAAAGAAAAAGAAAGAAAGAAGGGAGAAGGTTTGTACTGAAGAGATAGAAAGGCAGTCAAAGAAAGAAAGAAAGAAAGAAAGAAAGAAAGAAAGAAAGAAAGAAGGGAGAAGGTTTGTACGGAAGAGATAGAAAGGCAGTCAAAGAAAAAGAAAAAAGAAAGAAAGAAAAAGAAAGAAAAGAAAGAAAGAAAGAAGGAGAAAGGTTTGTACTGAAGAGATAGAAAGGCAGTCAAAGAAAGAAAGAAAGAAAGAAAGAAAAAAAGAAAGAAAGAAGGGAGAAGGTTTGTACTGAAGAGATAGAAAGGCAGTCAAAGAAAGAAAGAAAGAAAGAAAGAAAGAAAGAAAGAAAGAAAAATAAATCGAGAAAAAGAAAAGTGGCTGGAAGGACATAATGAATGAGCGAGAAAAAAGAAACAAAGAACATAACATGTAAGAAAAAGAACAAGCAATAAACAGAAAGAAAGAAAGAAAGAAAGAAAGAAAGAAAGAAAGAAATGTTACATGTAAAGAGGACAAAAGAATAAGAAAGAAAGAGTGAACAAAGAAATTAAAGGAAAGAAATAAAGAAATGGAAGATAGAGAACAAAAGTAAAAAGAAACATGAAAAGAAATGTGAGTGATAGAAAAAAAATGTATGTCTGAGAAAAAAGAGATAAAGAGAAAACTGTAAGAACGAAAAGAAGAAACAATAAAAAGAAAAAAAAACAGATGAAAGAAAGAAAGAAAGAAAGACAAAAAGAAAGAAAAAAAAAGAAAGAAAGAAAGAAAGAAAGAAAGAAGAAAATGTAAAGGGAACAACTGTATCAGAAAGACAGAAAGAAAGAAAAAGAAAGAAAATAAGGAAGAAATAAAAAAGAGAACAATAGTATAAGAAAGAAAGAAAGAAAGAAAGAAAGAAAGAAATTAATAAAGAAAAACAGAAAGAAAAAAGAAAGAAAAGAAATGGAAGAAGAAAAGAGAACAATAGTATAAGAAAGAAAGAAAGAAAGAAAGAAAGGAAGAAAGAAAGAAAGAATGAATGAATGAATGAATGAGAATAAGTGAAAGAAAGAAAAATAAAGAAAAGGAAGATGAAGAAAAAAGAACATGGTTATAAGAAAGAAAGAAAGAAAGAAAGAAAGAAAGAAATGGAAGAAGAAAAGAGAACAATAGTATAAGAAACAAAGAATGCAAGAAAGAAAGAAAGAAAGAAAGAAAGAAAGAAAGAAAGAAAGAAAGAAATGGAAGATGGAAGGGAAACGATAGTATAAGAAAGGGAATAGAGAAACTGAAGAAAAGAAATAAAAAATGGAAGAAGAAAAGAGAACAATAGTAGAAGAAAGAAAGAAAGAAAGAAAAAGAAAGAAAAAGAAAGAAAGAAAGAAAGAAAGAAAGAAAGAAAGAAAGAAAGAATGCAAGAAAGAAAGAAAGAAAGTGAACAAATACAGATGGCGCTCAAGAGGCGGAAAAGAAAAGAAATGGAAGACGAGAATGGAGGAGTGACGATGGTATAAAGCGCGGGAAAAGTGGAAAGGGAAACAATTCACTTCCTGTGGCGCAGGATACGATTAAGAGATTTCGCTCGCGCTTATTCCTGTATTCAGTTCCACGCCATGACAACCTCAACTGGGAGGGGATTAAACAGTGCAACTGCGTGCAACAATGATTAAGTCAAGTGCCGCCTAGTGGTGAAAAAAGAAACACCCTTGAATGAGATGTGCCATAGTGCAAATGTCTATGGATTAAATACTACGTCACAGTGGGGTGGAAATCTGCAGCATTTCTGGTAATCAAGCCGTCTTCAATAAGTGGAGCATATGTACACACACACACACACACACACACACATATATATATATATATATATATATATATATATATATATAGGTTGCGATGGATAAATTGTTGTCTAGATAAAATGAAAATTATACCATTTCATTCTAAAAGATATATTTACCAAAGTTATACAAAAAATTCTTGAAATAGGAAACAGTAAATTTATTCAATAAAATCGCCATTGTCTTCAACCACGGCCTCCCGACGACTTCGGAATCTGCTGCAACTCCTCTGGGTGGTCTCCTTGTTTAAGTTGGTGAATGCTACTATAATCCTTGCCTTCAGTTCATCTTTGGTCTTACAAAGAGTTTTGTTGGTCTCTCGTTTTACTCTACCCCACACGTAATAATCAAGAGGGCTACGGTCTGGGAAGTTAGGTGGCCAGATGTAAGAGGAGATGTGGTTGCAGAAATTGACTGACAGCCATGACTGGGTTCTCCTGCTTGTTTCGCATGGTGCAGAATCCTGTTGCCAGACATAGGGTCTTCCAGCAGCAACCCTATTGACCCAGGGAAACACTAACTTCTCAAAGCACTTGATGTAAGCGTCCGTGTTGAGTCTGTGGCAAAACGTCGCCATCACTAGTGACCACTCCAAACACCTTCGTAATCCCTATTAGACTCATCCAATTCTTTCGTTACCCTCTTCATTGACACCCAAACACTCTGAAATATTCGTATTGAAGCTTCCAAGCAGTACAGCATGTCGTTTACAAATTTGTGGCAGAGAGAATTGCGTCATGATGCTCATGGTACCCAGCTGACCCGACTACATTAAATTCAGAACCTTCTGTTATTTAAAATACATAGCAGCAATAACAAAATTTACTCACTTTCGTTTATGAGATAGTAAGTTACGTCACTTAGCATCTTCCATAATTTGCCGTGACTTTCGCTTAGCCTGGAATGTATTTATGAACGTTCTTAAATTGATAAATTCTGAGAAGCTAACATTTTGTTCTGCATATAAATGCTTGTTGCGAAGTTCTTACATAGAACGAAACACGTCAGCTAAGATAGGTTTTTCTTCATTCACACACACTCACAGACACACACACACACACACACACACACACATATATATATATATATATATATATATATATAGATAGATAGATAGATAGATAGATAGATAGATAGATATAATCGACGGATTTGCACCAAAATTTACATGCACATGCTCCAAGTTAGCGGGAAGGCCAAGACTACCATCGATAGTGGAAATAATCGATTTTGTACTGGCCATAGTGAGAGCCTATAGCTGGCTGCCAGGAATAGGCAGTAAGATTCTATTGGCCAGCGTAAGAGCCAACAGCTGACTGACACGAATGTTAACTAGCATGCAAAAAAAATCGATAACTGCATTCATCACAAGTCGGAAAAATTTAAATCTGCATGGCACTTTATTCCAATTGGCTCATTCGCTTGCTTAAACTCAACATTGATTCTGATTCCGCAGAACTGGGTTGTGTGTAAGAAAGTATTTGTTGTTAACATTCTTTTTTCATGAGTTCCAGCGCCTTACGAGGCTGGCATCCCGCTCTCACCCCTTCACTGTCGAAACTCCTAAATGTGGCCGTCTCTTCTACTCTAATAGCTTCATGTCTCGCACCTCTCGCCTGTGGAACTCCCTTCCCTATTCCAGTTTCCCTGAGAGCTATAATCTCCAGCTATTCAAGTGTAATGTCAATCGACATCTCCAGTTGCCTTGATATGTCCACTACTCTCATCCTTTCTTCTATCACTCCTATCTGACCTTGCTCTAAATTTTCTGTAACCCCTTGCGTCCTAGTGGCTTCCCGCCTTGCTAGGGGTGAAATGCTTAAAATATATATATATATATATATATATATATATATATATTATAAGCAAATATAAATGGATATAAATCCGACAGAATGAAGAAAATATCTGGAAAAACAAAACAAAAATCCTTAAAATGCGATTATGTTGTTTTAATATGAATGAAATGTCGACGTCTGACGTTTCGGTTTAATAACCTTCTGCAGGACAATATTCATTAAAAATACAATTAACATAATCAGTATAACACGACGAAAACAATGGACATAAAAACAAGTCTTATCCAAAACAGATAAATGAAAATTTTAAATGATCAGCTTTCCGTTTCATTTTCATGATCAGTTTTGTGTAAATAATTCATGAATTTGTAAATTGATTGCACGTTTATCGAAATTAAAATAACTGATCCAAGTGCGACTCTTGGATAATAAGTGCGACATTACTGTAATTATTGAACAATATAGTTCATGCCACTTTGACAGAAAATTTACCAGTAAAAAATTCGTTTACCACCATATTTGTACATGAACGCACAACTGTAAAAAATTTAAAATCAAACTCACCGTTGCTATTGCACGCTCCAAAAACAATAACTCATTTCCAATAGCATTTTCGAATACAACAATACATATATTTTCGTTGTCCTCTTATTACTAAGAGAAAAAACAAGAACAACATCTATTCCATAGCTGAAGATGTCTGTAGGAACAGACGAAAGCTTGTAGTAAAAATAAGAACTAATGCGGCAGAAATTTATAGAAACAAGGATCTTTTCATTCATAACGGATTCGGAGGTTTTTGTATATTATTTGAATTGTTTGCGACGATGGATTTCTCGTCAATTAAATCATTAACCATTGCATTTGTTTTTGTGTGAATAATTCATGAATTTGTAAATTGATTGCACGTTTATCGATATATATATATATATATATATATATATATATATATATATATATATATATATAACCATATATTTTTATATCTAACCATATATTTTTTATATCTAACCATATATTCACTATATTCTCTATAATTTTTTGATAACATATTTTATATAAATTCACTATTGAGTTTTTTAAACGTATATTACTCTCTAACCATCTACCTCGTGTTTCTCTCAGGGTGAATAACTGTAAAAAAAATTTATTCTAGGGAAAATTTCTTATTCTGGGTAAGTTTGGGATATTTTGAATTTGCTGTAAAACTTACCCCCAGAGTGTGAAAAAAAAATGCAGCTGACAGGAGTAAAGAATACGCTACGTGGGATATTTGTTCACCGCATTTGCTACGACTGAAAATATAAAATTAACTCCACTATTCCTGGAGTGGATTGGCATGTCTTCTCGGGAAAGCTACTCGAGTGGTTCCACAGAGCAATGGTTTGTAATTTTAGCCACATCATTTAGTGTCTCCATCGGCTGCACTAAACTGCCAGGCGTCTGGAAGTTTATTTAATGGCATGCCACTTCAGACCGAAGGCGATGTTTAGCCCTCCACAGATTGCTTATCTTCATAAACTCTGAACTGGCATGACATTTTACAATGATAACGGATTGATTAATTCATTCATTCATTTTCTACGGCTTATTTTATATTAGTGAGTTTGAGTTTGAGAGATATAACAAAAAGACAAAAAATTATTCATAGCTACAAAGGACAGGAAATTGTGGAGAGCCATGATTGCCTACATCTGAAGAGACACGGTATATAGAAGTCCTTTTAGAAGGCGGGGAATAATGATAAGTATCGCTTAAAATCTTTACTGTCCCTCCCCGTCCCTGTTATGCTATTCATTTGCATAATCTCGTTCGATAGTATTTCTGTGTTCCGCTTCTCTTCAGTATACCCTGTGAGTGTCAAATTCTCCAAACACACTTTCCTCAATATGTGTCACAGAAATTTAAAATCTTTCTGATTGTTATGGTAATTTACCCACGTGCGCATGGACTCTCCTAGCTATAAATAGGAGCAGGTACTGCCTTTTTGGGAGGTGGAAGTTTCCAGCAGTCAGCTCTGACAACCGGGCCGAACATTCATGCTGTAACACTCTCGTTTGTATATTTTTGTATCATTGTTTCTCTTAATATATTTGTTTAACTCAATTTCTCTTTTTGTGTCATGTTTCTGGCACTATCAAGGCTACAACACTGATTCTAACATAAGTATGCTTTTTTATTTTTTATTTTACAGATTATTTCAAGCTAGAAAATATTTTTAGTTTGTATTTATTTATTTTTATTTATTTCTTTATTTATTTTGGTGGCGGCAGATAATGATATTTTAGTGATACAAGCCTTACTAATTAACCCATAGCTGGAGGGACAAGAAGTGGTCTCGAACCTTTCGCAAAGGTAATTGCGCGTAAGTGCAACAACAGGAATTGTAACTCGACTGTCAGTTAAGAATTCAGTGTCGGTATCTATTACACCACCCGCACAGTTCAATGTTACAGCACCTGGTCTTCCGAAGTGGTTACCCATCCCGGTACTAACCAGGTTCGACGTTGATTAACGGCAATGTTCGCACGAGAGTCAATTTAATGGAAATTTATGAACAAATGTCGGACTGGAAAGCAAAAATATAATATTGCAATATTGTGAAATCACTCTGTCTGTCTTTCTCTGTCTTTCTATCTGTGCGTTTCTCTCTTCCCCCCTCTCTCTCTCTCTACTCTCTTCCCCTCACTCTCACTTTCTACTCTCTCTCTCTTTCTTTCTACTCTCTCTCTCCCTCTCTCTCATTGTATCTGTCTTCTTCTATCCTTCTTTCTGTCTTTCTCTCTCTGTCAATGAGAGGAATTGAGTTAAATATATTAAGAGAAACAGTAACACAAACATATACAAACGAGAGTGTTACAGCAAGAATCTTCGGTCCTACTGTCAGAGCTGACTACTGGAAACTTCCCTCACTAAAAGGCAGTACCTGCTCCTATTTATAGCTAGAGGATTCCATGCGTGCGTGGGTAAATTACCATAACAGATAGGTAGATAATGAACAGACATAGATAGATAGATAGATAGATAGATAGATAGGAATATATGTAGGTAAGTAGGAAGAGAGTGTTGTGGCCTTGTTAGGGGCAGAAATAAAGACACAAGAGAGGAATTGAGTTAAACAAATATATTAACAGAAACAGTTATACAAACATATACAAACAAGAGTGTTACAGCAAGAATGTTCGGCCCGACTGTCAGAGCTGACTGCTGGAAACTTCCTTCTCCAAAAGGCAGTACCTGCTCCTATTTAAAACTGTAAGAGTCCATGCGTGCGTGAGTAAATTACCATAATATTTTATCTCTATCTCTCTCCCTCTCTCTCTCTCTCTCCCTCTCTCTGACACACATTCTCTCGCTCTCTGTCTCACACATAGATACACGCTCTCTGTATATCTTTCGCTCTTTCTCTCTCTCTCTCTCTCTCTCTCTCTCTCTCTCACACACACACACACACACACTCTTCTGCTAAAAAATTCAGAGAAATATGGTTCTCCAGAATAATATTGAGAATATCTTGGCCGGAATATGCGAACAAAAGAAGATGTGTGAGGAAAGAAGCTTTGGCGAATTTAACACTCAGAGGGATCACTGAAAGTAAGAGGAGTAGAGGGAAAAACAAGTAACATATCTCATAAGCTTGTGTAAATGGTTAACTAAATAGGGAGTATGAAATAGGAGACAAATAGTACCTAGTGCCTAATGGATAGGAAGTTGTGGAGAGTCATGAATGGACGTGACTCACAAAAGCAGTTCATTTAAAAACTAAATTCAATTGCTCATTATTCATTTAGGTTTTGGTAAGCGTTTAATCGAATCTTCGTTTCGTCGAATGGTTCAAGTTCAACGAAAAATCAAAATTTAGAAAATTAAAGGGAGATAACTTTTATACCTGAATAGTGCTTTAAAAAAATTAGGAGACATGAGGTAACTGAGAAATATGGTTATGCGGAAGAATTCTGAGAATACCATGGACGCAACATGTGAGCAATGAAGATGTTTTAAGGAAAGTGGAGGGGGGGCGAAAAGAATCGGTAAGAGACAGTTGAAATGTTACACATAATGAGGAAAGGCGGTTCGACGAATTTAACAGTCACAGGGCATACAGAAGGCAAGATGTGTAGAGGGGAACAGCGAGTAACATACCTAATAAGTTTGTGTAAATTGATGGCAGAACAGGGAGTGTGAAGGTATAACAAGGAGTCAATTAGTGCTTAGTTCTAAAAGGGATAGGAAGATGTGGAGAGTCATGATCGCCCACGTCCTGATCTTTGTAAAAGCTTCACTGTTGTGATTTTATCATGTGCAGGTCCAACCTTTTCACAATAAAAAGTGTGACGTAAGACTTAGTTAAAAACTCCCCTTTATTTAGCCTTGTGCCGTACTCAGGTAAACTTAGTGTATACAAAGAACGCGTCTGCTTCATGGCAGCGAATTCTATTTGCCGGATAACTGCTTTAACTGAAAGCGTTTAATCGAACCTTCATTGCGTCAAATGGTTCACTTCACCGAAAAATCAAAGGTTAGAAAATTAAAGGGAGATAACTTTTAAATCTGAATAGTGCTTTAAAAAAAAAAGTAGGAGATTTGAGAAACATGGTTCTGCAGAAGAATTCTGAGAATACCATAGACGGAACATGTGAGCAACGAGGAAGTTTTAAAGAAAACAAGAACGAAAAAGAAACTTTTGCTTAGAATCAGAAAGAAGCAGTTGAAATTTCTGGGACACATAACGAGGTGAGTGGGGTTGGAGAATCTGACACTCACAAGGCATACTGAATGTAAATGAGGCAGAGAGAAGATGAACCGAGAGGGATAAGAAGGGCAGAGTGCATAGGAATCAGTGGAGAGACATGATTCCTACGTTTTGAAGGATTAATGCACATTAAGTAGATAATTCGCTCTGTCGTTTGCAGGAACGTAGGTCCGACATCTTTGTTAAGATTTTCGCCTCGACTTCTGCATTTTTTTTTTATGTCGGGTCGCTCTACGACTGCCACGGGTACCATCTGCTGTCTGCTCGGGTCGACGACGACTAAACTGCTTCCCTCACTAAGCTTTTCTTGTAAACAGGCTCCCCTGAGTCGATTCTCCAGATATACAAATCCACAATTCGCCCTTGCATGGAGTATTGCTGCCATATATGGTCTGGCGCTCCTTCTGTTTGCTTCGGGGTTCTTGATAGGCTCCAGAGGCGGATATGCAATATGGTTGGCCCTGCCCTGGCGTCTCGTCTACAGTCACTTTCTCACAGACGCGCCGTCGACTCCCTCTGTCTGTTCTACAAATACTTTCATGGAAATTGCTCCGAGGAGCTGCATTCGCTGGTTCCCAGACTTCATGAGTTCAAGCGCCCTACGAGGCTGGCATCTCGCTCTCACACTTTCACTGTCGAAACTACTAAATGTAGCCATCTCTTCTACTCCAATAGCTTCATACCTCGCACCTCTCGCCTGTGGAACTCCCTTCCCTTCTCCGGTTTCCCTGTGAGCTATAATCTCCAGCTATTCAAATGTAATGTCAATCGACATCTCCAGTCGCCTTAATCTATCCACTACCCTCATCCTTCCTTCTAACACTGCTATCTTGCTATTTCCTGTAACCCCTTGCATCCTAGTGGCTTCCCGCCTTGCTTGGGGTGAAACACTTAAAAAAAAGAAAAAGACACCCAGCATAAATAAAATCATGTCAAGTGGTGGATAAGTCTTCTTGTAAGATCAAAGGGCCGTCTAGCCCAATGGGATAGACTGGGGTCTACAGCTGTGTTTGCAGCCAGTCCTCTGATGACACAGCCTCACTGTGCGGTGCGCTTTCGAGGTTAAAGTCAACAGTCAAGCCGGAAGGTTGACTCCGATGAATTCAACGGCCATGTGCCCGTGACCAAAGTACGTCTTCAAGTTGGAGATCATCGGTTATAGCTTAGCATGAAGAAAGATGGGCTCTGCCAGGACTACGTGTCATAGACACTGTGCTCATCAATGAATACCGGTCAACCCAGGTGTGTTGGTGGAACTGAACAGGTGTCCAGCTGCGCAGCTACCCTATGACCATATTTGGTCATTGAAATGATGATGATGATGATGATGATGATAGGATATGTAATACCTTTAAATGTGTTTTTCTCTCTTTTTCTGTGTTTGTGTTTCTCTCTGCCTCTCTCTCCCCCACCCCCTCTCTCTCTCTTGTTGTCTCACTTTTTCCTTGTCTCTTTTTTCTCTGACCATGATGATGATTGGATATTGTAATACTTTTAAATGACTCTATCTATCTATCTATCTATCTATCTATCTATCTATCTATCTATGTGCGCGCATTTATTTCTCTCTCTTTCTCTCTCACTCTCTCTTTTTATACCTTATTATCCCAATCATTATGATTATGATGATGATGATGATAGGATATGTAATACCTTTAAATGTGTTTCTCTCTCTCTCTCTCTCTCTCTCTTTCTGTGTTTGTTTTTATCTCTGCCTCTTTCTCTCTCTCTCTCTCTCTCCCCTTCTCTCTCGTTGTCTCACTTTTTCTTTGTCTCTTTTTCTCTGACTATGATGATGATTGGATATTGTAATACTTTTAAATGACTCTATCTATCTATCTATCTATCTATCTATCTATCTATCTATCTATGTGCGCGCATTTATTTCTCTCTCTTCCTCTTTCTCTCTCACTGTCTCTCTTTTTCTCTTTTTATTCCTTATTATCCCAATCATTATGATGATGATGATCGGATATTTTAATATTTTAAAATTTATCTGTCTGTCGCCCTCTATCTTTCTCTGTGTGTGTGTTTGTGGTTTGTGTGTGTGTGTGTGTGTGTGTGTGTGTGTGTGTGTGTGTGTGTTTCTCTCTATCATTGTCTCTCTTTGTCTCTTTTTCTTTCTTTAACCCTCTTTATCCCGATGATGATGATGATGATGATGATGATAGGTTTTTTAATACATTTGAATCTGTTTTTCTGTCGCTCTCTCTCTCTCTCTCTCTCTCTCTCTCCCTCTCTCTTTCTGCCAGTTTGTCTGTCTGTCTCCCTCTCTCTCTCTCTCTCTCTCATTGCATCTCATTGTCTTTATCTCTTGTTCTCCCTCTTTATCTCGATGTTGATGATATGATATTGTAATACTTTTAAATCTGTCTGTCTGTCTCTCTCTCCGTCTCTCTCTCTCATTGCCTTTCTCTGACTTTATCTCTGTTTCTCGCTTTATCCCGATGATGATGATGATGATGATGATTTTTTTTTTATCAACCCCAAATGGTAAATCTTCAGATTTCAGTCAAGCCAATCTATTAATCTATGAGATTTATTTTGCCCGTACGTTACCATTCTTACTCGATTTGTTACCATATCATTTTGTTCAGTTGATTTATTTTGTTTTTGTTTCAGTATATTTTTTCTTTGTTCGACATGATGACAGCTATGGTTCAGTGTGTTGAAAACGGTTGGGGGAAAAAAGACGTGAAAAGGGCGTTCAATACAAGACGAAATGAAAAAAAAGAAAAAAAAAAGAAAAAGAATATTCTATGAAGGAAATGGTGAGCAAGGCAGGCATTTTGATTTCTGCTATGAAAGAAACAGGTAGGCGCAAAATAAAAAAAAGGAGAGAAAAAAAAACGGCTGGCGTCAAATAATTGAATCCCTGTGCATCTTGCTGTCTTGAGCAATTTCACAAAGAAGAATTAAATGAAGAAAAAAATGGAAGAGTAAGAAAAGGTGAACGAAGAAGTGAGTAATAAACCGTTGAAGAAAACATCATGACGAAGAAGAAGTAGAAGAAGAAGAAGAAGAAGAAGACGAAGAGAGGATGAAGAAAGAAGAAATAAGAAAAAAGAATGAATGAATGAATGAATAAAAGAAAGAAGGAGAGAAAGAGAAGAAAAGAAAAATCAAAGAAGAAGAAGAAGAATTAATGAATGAATGAAAGGAGGGGAAGAAGAAGAAGAAGAACAAGAAGAAGAAGACGAAGTGAGGATGAAGAAAAAAGAAATAAGAAAAAAGAAAAGAAAAATGAATGAATGATTAAATGAAAGAAGGAGAGAAAGAGAAGAAAAGAAAAATCAAAGAAGAAGAAGAAGAATGAATGAATGAATGAAAGGAGGGGAAGAAGAAGAAGAAGAACAAGAAGAAGAAGACGAAGTGAGGATGAAGAAAAAAGAAATAAGAAAAAAGAAAAGAAAAATGAATGAATGATTAAATGAAAGAAGGAGAGAAAGAGAAGAAAAGAAAAATCAAAGAAGAAGAAGAAGAATTAATGAATGAATGAAAGGAGGGGAAGAAGAAGGAGAAGAAGAAGAAAAGACGAGTCTGGAAATGAAGAAGAAGAAGAAGAAGAAGAAGACGAAGTAGAAGAAGAAGAAGATAAGAAGAAGAAGACGAAGAAGAAGAAGAAGAAGATAAGAAGACGACGAAGAAGAAGAAGAAGATAAGAAGAAGAAGACGAAGAAGAAGAAGATAAGCAGAAGAAGACGAAGAAGAAGAAGAAGAAGAAGATAAGAAGAAGAAGACGAAGAAGAAGAAGAAGATAAGAAGAAGAAGACGAAGAAGAAGAAGAAGATAAGAAGAAGAAGACGAAGAAGAAGAAGAAGAAGAAGAAGATAAGAAGAAGAAGAAGAAGAAGAACAACAACAACAACAACAACAAATAGGCGGAAAGAAAACTAAGACTAATACAAAGAAGTGAACTGAAAGTGAGAACCAAAAATAACAGTGAAAATGAAAACAAAAAAGTATGACAGTCATCAAAGAAAAGAAGGAAAAGTAAGGAAGAAAAAGAAGAGGATGGAGAAAAGGCAAAATAAAGGAAGAAATGGAGAAAATACGAGAAATAGAAACAAATAAACGGTGGAAAAAGAAAATGAAAGAATTCAAAGCAAATAACAACGGACAAATAGAACAAGATGGCGAGAAAAGAAAAAAGAAAAGTGAGTTTGCATCAAATTGGGAATGAGAGAAAGTGAAATAAAAAAAAAAACGTCATAGAAAAATGAAATACAAAAAGAAGACAAAGATAGAATCAAGAAGAAGAAGAGCAAATCGGTTTTGAAGTAAAAGAAAGGAAATGGGGAAGGATGACAAGGGTGAGCAGTAAGAAGATGAGGAAAAAATAACGATCCAAAGAGAAAGAAAAAATGACTGTGAAAGAAAGAAAGAAAGAAAGAAAGAAAGAAAGAAAGGAAAGCGAAGAAGAAGCGGTTGAAGGAAAAGACCATCATTAGAAATCGATAAGGAGATAAGAAAGAAAGAAAGAAAGAAAGAAAGAAAGAAAGAGAGAAAGAAAGAAAGAGTAATTTGTCTGAGAAAAAGAAAAACGTTAGAAATCGATAAGGAGATAAACGAGAAGAAAGAAAGAAAGAAAGAAAGAAAGAAAGAAAGAAAAAAGAAAGAAAGAAAGAAAAGCGAGGGAGAAGCGCTAGAAGGAAAAGAAGATCATTAAAAATAGATAAAGACAGAAACAGGAAAGAAAGAAAGAAAGAAAGAAAGAAAGAAAGGGAAATGGAGAAAGAAGGAAAGAAAGAAATAGAAAAAAAGAACTTTAGTAATCAATGTTCAGGAAAAATTGTAAAATAAAAAGAGACAAAAAAGAATCAAGCAAATAAAAAAAAAATAAAGTCTAACTTAAAATACGCAAAAACAAAAGCTTTGTCCTCACTGGCACAAGGCTACAAGAGTGGAACATCCCATGTGGACTGGACGAACAACGTTTCGTCTTCGTAAAAGTGTTGCATATGTTTCTCCCTACAATTCCTTCATCAGTTCCATCACTCACGAAACCACATAAACCTTCCTGGACCCTGTCTAGTCCGAAATCTGAAGGTCGGGCAGCTCCAGCTCAGATATTGGCAGAAATGCTCCATTTTTGGTCTGGTATGGCTCTTCGGAAGTGAGTTAATGACAGGATTTAGATACTTTCTGTTGGGGTGCAAGGAACTAGACATTGTTCATGCTTCCTTAGCGATGCATCGAATATATGAGTTCCTATGAGGTACTGGGGGTGGGGGTGGGGAACTTGAGTCCCAATAGACATTCAATTCAACCGTTCGTTGTGACAGGAGAAGTCTTGTTTTGATGAAAATCTCTTTAGTTCGTTTAAACATATAATGCTTTAAGCAAACTAAAGAGATTTTGCTAACAGTACGCTGCAAAAATAGCACTTGAGCTATAACAAAGAAACATTACTGTATATAAAAAGCAAGTTAGCAATACAGTTGATTATAAAAATGTATTCTCAACTATAAAAATGAATGAAACTTGCAAAAAAACCGTGCAAAATCAAATTCTTCAACAAAAAAGATTTACTACAATGAATTAAAAATATTAAACAAAACCTCATTTCTAATAACTTCCCTAGAGTGTTGAACAAATTAGACAAGGTATTAAGAATATTAACATAACTAAATAATTATACATCATCAAATAACTCTAAACATATCAAATTAATATATTGTAATCAAATGCATTCCAATTATGAACAGGAGGAAAAATTAAAAAAAAAACCTGATAAACACTAATATATCTCCCATTGATCCAAGTAAAAAAATAAAATTAATCATATACCACACTAAATTTAATACAGCCAACCTAGTTATCCAGAACAACTTTTTTCCACTAACTAGCATCTTGCAAAAGGTCAACATTGTATATCAATTTAAATGTCCTCTAAGAGATTGTATTTCTAATAAAAATGTCAATACGTACATTGGCTTTACTACGCCGATGCTAACAAAACTACTTACATTTCATTTGGCTGAACATAGTTCAATCTATCAGCACTTAAAGGAACACTCAAGCCCACACTCACAGATTGGGCGGATATTTGTTGAAAATACATCTATACTGCACAAAAACAATAACAAGCAAAAACTGAAAATCCTTGAAGCCCTTTATATAAGAGAGTTAAAGCTCAAATTAAATAATATCAACTATGGGTATAGAAACAAAGTCCTTAAATGCTTATGAAAAAAAAATTATATAAGTATGAGCAAAAAGAAAAAATTACTCCCCTTATACTGAAAAAAAACCCCAAAAGAACACGTGAAATTTGAACTTTGAAATCTAGAATGCTGCATAAGCAGTAATAAAAAGAGTAAAAAAACGAACGGATGAAATGTTTTAAATTCACAGAAACACAGATACATACGCCCAGACAACTTAACCTCCTGAAGATGGTCTCAGATGAGATTGAAAGTACTTGGGAAAATAAAAACTAATTGAAAGAAAATTTTGGTATTTTTCTTAATCAATTTTTTAAGGCTACCAAAAAATTAACCCGCAAAATTTAACGGATCACAATGAAAACTAATCGACATATGTCTAAATTATTTAACCAAACCTGTTTGAATTAAATATGCTGCCTAAATATGCACAATTATAAAAATGTCATTGTAGGCTGACGTCACTTGACAAATTGTCTCGTCCCAAGGAGCAGATCGAAACCTAATAACGCGCTGTCCACGACCAACACACGGGATCACCGTTGTTGATACTGAGTGTGATGTTTCCAACTCCCCGGCTTCTGAGAGCCTTTCCATCAGCCGTTAGTGCGTCCATCTTTTGTCTGCTCCACTGTCGACAAATCGAACCGTTCGTGAGTGACCGAGAGCAGCCCGAATCTATTAAAGCGGTACGCGTTATTCCATTGATGCGCACCTTAATCACAGGGAGCGCCTCTTTCCTGCTCGGTGCGGGGAAGAGACCGGCGCTGACGTCACCCCCCCACCATTCCATTTCCCGGACACTTTGACGCAATATGACCTACTTTATGACATTGGAAGCATCGTAGTTCGAGACGTGCCTTTCGCGCCGACCCGTTGCGCATTTCTTTGCGTTGATAGCGGCAGTCTCTGGCAAAATGATTCAGCCCAGAGCACCGATAGCAGGTGGCGACGGATGGCTAGGGTCGGACCTTCTTTGACTTCAATTGGTTGAACAACTACGGCCACTGGTTCATCAGCCGCTTTTTCGTCGATCATGATAGCACAGGCTCTGGTCAACAATTGATTGAGCGTCAGGTCTTCCATGCTTAACATGACTAACGGCTGATGGAAAGGCTCTCAGAAGCCGGGGAGTTAGAAACATCAAACTCAGTATCAACAACGGTGACCCCGTCACAGTCAGTGTGTTGGTTGTGGACAGCACGTTATTAGGTTTCGATCTGCTCCTTGGGATGAGACAATTCGTCAAGCGACGTCAGCCTACAAGCTATTTCGGCGTTTGTTAGAGGGTGAATTATTTTTCTGACTGGTTACACGCATTGTGATTCGAGATAGTACCGGCGAATCGAATTTTCAGCATTTCTTTCTGCCCCCGATATCCGAGTCTGTACTTACGGTGATTTTTCTTTGTGTTGTGGAAGTAATCTGCGACAAATACTTCCTTTGCTTTCAGAACGCTTACAACTACAGTCATACATTCTTTTTGGGTCGCCTTTTAGGACGGAAATATTTCTCTACAACATTCGCTTTTGTAGATTCTAACTAATTCATAATAGGATTGTGTCGAGATAGATTTAGGCATGTTGGATCAGCTGGTACCAACTAATGCCGCCGATGATTTTTTTGCAATAATTCCTTTGACATTATCAATAATAATAATAATAATAATTGCAGACATAGGAGCCCTAACAATTTTATGAGACGTTACAATACAGACCGAAAAATCAAGCTCATCGCACGGTGTTTTCTTATTGGCATGGCATTCCCTGCATATTGTAATGTATCTTTGAAGATCCTAAAATTTAAGATCATCTGATTGGATAAATGTTTCATGGTAACATTCAGGAAAGACAGAATTACAAAAACACACTGAATAGATTTAAATTATCGTTACAAAGATTAGCTAACTGGAACAAGAAGGAGCCTATAAATGACAAGAAATCAATGAAGTACATGGAATCCAGTATAACCAATGGAAGGAGAATGTAGAAAAGAATACTACAGCCGTGCGCGTCTGGTGTTAAGTACTGAGTTAAATTCACAAAACTGAATATCAGCTATAAACACTTTGGTTCCCCCTTTGGTGCAAAACAGTTTCAACGACCTTAACTGGACCAAATTTGAAATTAAGCGAATGGATGCCAAAACGAGAAAGCTTCTCACTTGCCACCGCATGCAACATCCTAAGACTGATGTTGATCGGCTGTACGTGCCCAGACCCGAGGGAGGAAGAGGATTAGTTCAACTAGAACTGTTTTACAAAACCACAACTATAGGTCTTCAAAGATACCTGGAAACTACAGAAGACTGGATGATGATCTGCGTCAAAGAACATGAAAGGAATAATTTTTTCTCCCCGGAATCAATCCTTCAAATCTACAAATCAACCATTCGTCCTTGCATGGAGTATTGTTGCCATATATGATCTGGAGCCCCTTCTGTTTGTCTCGGGGTTCTTGATAAGATCCAGAGGCGGATATGCAATATAATTGGCCCTGTTCTGGCATCTCGTCTGCAGTCGTTCTCTCACAGACATGCCGTTGCCTCTCTCTGTCTTTTTTTACAAATACTTTCATGGTAATTGCTCCGATGAGCTGCTTTCGCTGGTTCCCAGACTTCATGAATTTAAGCGTCCTACGAGGCTGTCATCCCGCTCTCACCCTTTCACTGTTGAAACTGTTAAATGTAGCCGCCTCTTCTACTCCAATAACTTCATATCCTTTCCTCAAAACAATGCTTGTCAACTCCCTTCCCTTTTTCCTGTTTCCCTGAGAGCTATAATCTCCAACTATTCAAATGTAATGTCGATCGATATCTCCTGTTGCCTTGATCTATCCACTATCCTTCTCCTCATCCTTTCCTCTATCACTCCTATCTGATCTTGCTCTAAATCTTCTGTAACCCCTTGCGTCTTAATGGCTTCCCGCCTTGCTTCGGGTGAAATGCTTAAAAACAAAAGAAACTTTATTCAGTAATAAGGGACGCCAACCAATTCAAAAAGGAATTTCAATCGGCCGAGGAAGTGCAAAGAAACCATCCTCCTGCAGCGACAAAGAACCTAAAAAAAGGAGCCAAAAGGTGTAATGTATCAAATATAAAATAACTATGGCAAGATAAGTCTATTTATGGTTAGTACTCTGTCTGTGATGTAGACAATAGCCCGAAACCATCAGTGTTTATGTAGTGCAGGGCTAAAATCGATTTTATTCTTGCTGCACGGGACCAATGCTTGCCAACTAAAAAGTACCAAACAGACATGCTGAACAATTGTATTAACCCGAAATGCATATTCTGTGATAAATATCCAGAAACAATTGACCATCTTGTATCAGGTTGCACAGTGTTAGCACCCACTGAATATAAAACTCGATGACAGAGTTGGTCAATATCTGCACTGGAAAATCTGCAACTTTTACGGGAAAGAAACTGAAAAAAAAAACTGGTATGAACATCACCCAGAGATTAGAGAGTTTTATTGGATTTTGCAATACACAGTGACAGACAATCAAAGCTAATCGCCCAGACATCGGGATAAAAAAAAGTATCAAAATACAAGGATCTTGAAGTGGAAATCTAAAAAAAAAAAAAAAAGTGGCACATGAGGACATCAATAATTCCAGATGTAGTTGGAGCCCTCGGATTGATTGGAAAACGGTTTTGATTTGGAAAACGATTGGAAAGGGTTTGATAGTTTATCAAAGGAGTTCCAGGTAGCCTATTCCTTAAAGAAATACAAAAAAAAATTGTACTCACACATTACGAAGAGCTTAATCTATGTAAAATGTGTGTGATCT